CAGAAGAAACCAATTCCACTATTCTTCCGAGCACCGAGAGCAATGTCACTGATGCACCAACCACCACTCCATCTCCTGCACCTGTACCCAACGCAGATATCAACACCATCACCTCCGCATTACAGAACAAGGCTAATGTTGACAGCAGTATCAGTTCTGTGTGGATGCGTGTACCGCTACTGATTGTGGCTGTGTTGGTCTCCGTTACAGTGTACTGAACGGTGGGTCTCACTTGAGGTCAAATAATAATAATGGTTAAACTAACATAATCATATTTGCGTACATCCCCATGTGTGAATGAACTAATAATCTGTTTACCAGCTTTCTCTTTTAATTGGAATTTCTTTTACTTTTATGTGTGTGTGTGTGTGTTTCTCTTTTTTCTAATAATTCCATTACTTGTTTTTCCGTTGTGTGTGTGCAGAAAACTGGGCTGCTCTGCTCACTGACGGTATACATCTCTTGCTAGTACACACAGATGTGTGTGCAGTAATTTAATACATAAACTAGAGCCATGGGATATTGTGTGTGTTTGGCTCTCTCTTTTATTTGGGTATTGTGTGTTCTCTTTTTTTTTTCTTTTCTCGGATAAATAATATCATACAAGCGGTCTATTCCTTTTTGTTGTTTTACTGTGGAGTTACTGCTTCTCCCTCTCTATCCCAATGTGAGTATTTGTGCCTAACATCCACTCACTGGCTGTGTAAACTTTCTCTCTTCCTCTTTCTTTCTTGTATTAGTATATTGAAGTAAACAACAACAATGACAAAGGCTGTAATGGTGAGGTGTTACCTGCTCTTTTTATTACCTCTTACACTCTGTTGTGCTTGTGGGTTAGTATGGGCTGATATTCCTAAAGATTCTGAGTCCAGTAATTGTGTGACTTATGTTGGTGTTCCTCCTTTTATTGTTGAGACTGTCCCTTGCGATACGGCTCGTACTGCTCCTACGGCTGCTGAACCCACAAAACCTGCTCCAGGTAAGCCGGGTCCCGATACTCCTGGTGATCATAGTGGGAGAGAAGTTAACCAAGTCACTACGAATTCGCATCAAGAGCAAGAAGTATCCCAAAGTGATCACGAAAAGTTAACAGGTGATTCTGAAAATAAACGTAGAACAGGAACTCAGGTTGTTGAGCAGATCTTAAAAGGAGACGGTACCCCATCAAGTACTCCGGTAAACAATAACTCTGTTAGTTCCCTTGATTCTGCAGAAGGACGGATTGCAAAACCAACAGAAGAGCATCCCCCTCCAACTTCTCCTGTTTCTGATAGACAACAGTCAGGTGAGGCCCCTTCTGTATCAACACAAGCAAATAGAGAGAACCCAACAGTCTCAGAATCTGCACCTAATGGTGGCAAGCATAGGAGTCCACATGAGAACACATCACCACTGCAAGAACAAGAAGAAGGAGGTGCAACCACTCGGGGTTCACAAGTTACAACTAACACTGAGGAGTCATACGGGACAGGGAACAAACAGTCAACAACGAACACAGAGAATACCAATATACCCAATAGTGAGAAATCAACCACCACCACCACAACAACAACAACAATACTTCCTCCTGAACTCACAAACAACAAGAAGGGTGATGCAGACAGCAGCAGCAGTATCAGCAGTTCTGTGTGGGTGCGTGTGCCACTACTGATTGTGGTTACACTGGCCTGTATTCTTGTGTGCTGATTGTAGTGTGGTGGTGTGACTCAGGTCATCCTATGTTTTCTTTTTTTCTTTTTTGCATGCATCCACACTACGGTCTAACTAATCTTCCACCTGTTGGGATTTTCTCTTTTTTTGTTTCTTAATGTTAATGTGTTTTGTGTGTTTTTGCTCTCTATGTTTATCCTATAATAATTATTATTGCTGATACTCCATTGTGTGTGTGTTCTTGGCTCTCTCTGTGTGTGTGCACCTGGGCTTGCACTGTGATAATGATGAATGCTTTTTGCAGTGGGAAAAAAAAGAAAAAATAATACTAACAGATGAATTTATATTTATAATTGTGTATATATACACGTATAGACTTATACCCATAGTTGGTGTATATTTCTGTGTTTACTGCGTAACTTGGGCTAATGGTTAATATCTGTGTGTTTTTGCGTGGGTCATTCTTTGCTTTTGCCCTGCACGGTTTTTGGTAATCTGTTTTATAAGAGCAAAGGAACAAATAGTAGTTATTACAATTTTTATTTGTAATTACTTGAACACACCAGCATACCCAGTGGTCTGTGAGTTATTTTTGTGCAGTTGGTCCTGTTCTTAATTTGTTTTTTTTTTCGTTTTCTTTGCTTGGGCACTGTGTGCTTTCTCCTGCATTGTTGTGTGTTGGAGTGTTTTGTGGGGAGAAAAAATAATAAAAAATACATAAGTATATTTGTAAATGTGTTTGGTCCTACAGGAAGTGGCATTTTGATGTATTGCTGTGCCTGCTTCTGATGGTCGTTCTCTTAATTTTTTCCTTTTGGGGGTTTATTGGGATTATCTGTTTGTCACTGGGTATTGTGTGGGTTTTTACTTTAATTTGGGTATTATATGAGTTATGGTTGCACCTTTCTGTTATCTGGGTGCTTCTGCTGTAATTGTTGAGTGTTGTCTGATTTGTTGTGTGTTCTTATTTTCTTATTTCCATTAATTCACTTTGTTTCTGGTTTTATTATTGGGTTTCTTTTTCTGTAAGCGATTGAAGTAAGACTACTACAAGAAGTATTGTAATGGTAATAACGATGCGCTACGTGCTGTGTATCCTCGCTCTCCTGCTCTCATGTGCGTGTGTGCACGTCCTCGCTGAAGAAGTGCCTGCCGCCGATCTTTCCGACCAAGTCCCTGATACGGAGAGTGAGACAAAGATTCTTCTTCAAGGTACTCCTGTCAATTGCACTGAAGCTACTACTGATTGTACTGGTGGTGGTGTACCTGACGCAGCTCTTAAGGATTGTGTGAAACCTCCTTCCGACAAGGATGGTTGCCCTACCGATGATGATAACACTCAAGAGAATTGCGCTTCTGGTGGGTCTGGTTGTAAAAACCAAACACAAGACGAGAATCATGCTAAACAAAATGAAAATCGTGTAACTAGTGGTAGCGAACATCTAGGTCCTTCAATTGCAAGTCATCCTGTAACTGACAAGGGACCTAATACTGATGAAAGACAAGAGGATCGTGCCAACCCAACTGTTGCTGTTGTTCGTCCTGCTGAACCAGAGACTCGGGATACTCGAAGTGTAAACGGTTCACAAGATGCTGGTTCTTCTCCTTCAGGGGTTACTGGAGGTGCTCCTGCCGCTAACGGTCAAACTGGAAGCAATGTGGTCAGTGCAACCGAAGAAGGTGGATCTAAACAGGGAGATGAAACAGTACAACCTTCTCCTTCTCCTTCCAACAATTCGGCCACAGGGAGTGATGTTGGTTCTGATGCTGCAACACCTGAGAATGGCACTTCATCTGCAGAGAGTGAATCATCAAATAAACAAGAAGGAAATGTGGGAAATACAGATACGACGACGACCACAACAACAACAACAACCACAACACTTCCTCCTGAACTCACAAACAACAAGAAGGGTGATGCAGACAGCAGCAGCAGTATCCGCAGTTCTGTGTGGGTGCGTGTACCACTACTGATTGTGGTTACACTGTCCTGTATTCTTGTGGGCTGATTGAGTGATGGTGGTTGTGTTGTGACTCAGTTCATCCTTTGTTTTCTTTTCTTTTTTTTTGCATACATCCCTATAGTCTAACTCATCTTTTACCTGTTGGGATTTATCTTCTTTTTGTTTCTTAATGTTATTGTTTTGTGTGTTTTTGCTCTCTGTGTGTTTATCCTATAATAATTATTATTGCTACTCCATTGTGTGTGTGTGTGTGTGTTTTTGTGCCACTGTGTGTGTGCTTGGGCTTGCCTTGTGCAATGAGAGAAAAAAATATTTATAACAGATACACTTTTATACATATATTCATAATTAAGTTTACAACGTTTTACATTGATAGTGGTTGTATTTGGCCGTTTACTGTAGAACATGGGCTATTTGTTGATTTCTTTTTGTTTGCTTTGCGTTTGTTTGGATTGTTTTGTCCAGAGAG